CAGTACCTACCCATAATTAGTTAATGAAGTTATTGCTACAATTTCCACTATCTTACAGTACCGACGTTTCTGACTATCGAAGCTACGTCTAAAATGTTTGTGATGATTATTTAATCGATAATTGTCATGCGATAATTACAAATTCCGTCTGCCATATCATGAGGTAGTCACGTCTTATAAATCTATTTAAATTTTGTGCATAGATAAACTCAGAAAATGTACGAAAGACGGTCTTAATTCTGATTATTTCTAACCACAGCTCAAAAATATTAATCAGCACCACAAGTACAAAGTATACATTGAATGTGAGAAAATAAAAGCAATGTCCCTTATTGCGCATTGAAGGTAGGCAAAATTTAATACACCTATGTTTATTTACTGCTGAATACACGATATGAACTAATATTATGATATGATGATACTCGTACTACAGCAAAAATGTGATGGAACACGAAAAATACTGATTTATTTACCATTGTATTTAGAAAAACTGAAAAAATCTGCATTACACTATATTTACAAAAAAGAAACAAATACATAATTATTCTGTAAGTGTAGTCATGTATAAAAATGACAAGGCACTTAAATCTTTATGGCGCAAAAAATGCGAGTAACAAATCTGAAACTGGAAAATATTTTATAACGGATCAATGGTCTCTAGCTTTCTTAGGAGATCAAGTAAATGTCGTTTAAATGAAATTGGGCGCCAAACAGAATTAAGCGCCTCATAGAGAACACGAAATTACAAAATGTATAACCATTGGCAGACAGAAACATTAATCAATGCTTACGTTTTCAATATTTTTTTCAACTGGACCTGCTATAAACAATCATCGAAACCCGAAAGATGTTTCCGAAACCGCATTCCCAATTGCGAAGGTAAGATTCAATTATAGTACAGAAACTTCGAAATATAAAAAAATTACATAGTGCTTCTGAGAACAGTATGATGCCTTCAGGTGATCTCATTGTACTGAATCTTAGGGTTTACTGTCTTCCTTTCTGATTATCAGTTTTACAAGTCGAGTGCCCCTGTAAAATGATATAAAATTTTCCAAAAGTTTTCTTCCTATGGACAAAGCGATTTCGAAACCATCCCTTCCCCAAAATCTTAGTAACCATTACCTAATTAAATGATTGAGCCTTTCTAACGATACATGAGTATTGACAATGATAAGCATTATCATTAAACCATCTAGCCTCATTATTTCCATTCAAGTTGTTAGTTGTTCCCTGATGGAGTCTTCTGGGAGTATTTTCTTGTTTGCGAGAACTTTTGGGACACCATATCAAATGTGAACTGGCAATTGGCACTATCTTAATTTTGACAACTGAACTGCATGAAGAAAAAAATTGTTTCGTCATTTATATAGCATCATAATAAAAATACGTAGTTTTTAGATATTTTTATTATTACACATGTATGTATGTACACTACGTATTTTTATTTAATAAACCAGATGCTATATATATAAATGATTTTTTCTTCACCTGTCAAGTTGTCAAAATTGAGATAGTACCAGTTGCCAGTTTACAGTTGATATATTAAAATACAGTAAAGTTAATTTTACTGGCTTTCCACTTAAAAAAAGCTAGGTGTAGAACTTCAACAGGAAATATTGGGACTAGACTCATTAAACCTCAGCATTTATTGCTTACCCTAAATGTATGTACTTCCACTAAGATTAATGCTTATCTTCCGATTGACTTAACTTGATAAATATGTCAAGTATTATGACGATGTGATGAATACTTTCCTTTACATGTTATCACCTTAAATTATCTTTATATCGTTTGTTATCAATCGACTGAGGATACAAAACAGAAAATTTTGAAAAATAAGCTCAACTAGTTGAAATACCTTTCTTTATGTTACAGGCAAAGTATGCATAGAGGGGACTGCACAAGAAATTTAAACTGGTGGACCATATCTAATTGTGTCAATCAATTGCATTTACACCCTATTTAAAACAACTTCAAACCCTAAGTTGTGTAGAATAAGTGAATTTATGGCTTATGTTGCTAAGAATGCAAATAAATTACACAAACAGACTTGGCCCACCATTTGACAAAACTCTGCAAATTTTGTCCAAAATCTCTACGCAAAATCAACTTTGTCCAGGCAATGCTGACCCTACACTCACTGCAGACAAACATAAAATATACCCTAGATTGTATTGCTACTTTTGTAGCAGTAGAGCTCTTTGTGAATGAGTTAGTCCAGGGAAGTACTGCCACCTTACTTATTGCTGCCATCAAGCAGTAATGTGAGTAAGGTAAGGGTGCTGTCGAAAGGGCTTTTCTGACATTGTGGTAACACATATGAATTCCTAGTAATTTGAACTTAATAATTATGCCTTAATAATAATTATACCATGATCATTACTTGTAATACATCAACAGGTGAACACATACAATGTTTTTTTAATATATAGGCAAGAGTCAAACCTCAATACCAACTGAAGGCAAGTGATGATGCTGATCAGGGTGATATGCTACTGTACAATTGAACACCACAAAGTAATAACCTTCGGGTGTTGGCATTATTGTAAATCGAAATATTCACCATGTCGTCAATTCACGTACTCAGCCATCCTACATTACGATTTACAGCTCAAATATCAAGTTAAACCAACCAATCCAGCTTCTGAGCTGCCGAATTAACTAATTAACGCTTTTTGGAAAGTTTTGTTGCTAAAATTCTCAGAGGCATATTTACAATAGTTTACTTAACTAGAACACGTTATAGTCTGTGTTATATCCTTTCCTACTTGTCCTGTGGCCTCATTGTGATTTAGATCAATGGTAATTTCAAATTAAAATGCATAATTACACTTCAATGTCACAACGTATAATACACCCCTTAACATACACAATTGTATTAATTTCAAATGGAAGTCATAATTCCATCAAGCGAAAATACCTTAAAAGATTACTACTCAGAGATTCCTATGTTATGAAAATCACTGGTATGAACTTGTTATTGCTTTCATTTCCTACGAATACCAGACAGACTATATTACAAACAATATTACACTAGTAAGCGTCAAACTTTAAAAACAAAACTACCAAAAGGCGCTTAGTGTTCTTACTGCGTGTCACTTAAATTTAGAAGGCCTGCATCGCTTCATCATGATTACTCGACTATGAAATGTTCACTGTGATGTCTTGAAATAAATAAGTCTGCTTACACACTATAGTCTGAACGGAAGATTGTTCACAACCGATTACGACGGTTCCTTATAGCCCTAAGGCGCGCACGGCGCGACTTCGCGGATTATATGTCACCATTTTGACTAATCCCGATTCTCTTGATGAATTCCTCCTGTAACATCACTGTCTTGATCTGAGTCGGACAGTACTGCTGTGTGCCATCAGTTAAAATCACCCCCTGGCCATTGCTGAGTGATCCCGTCGTATCCATAGAGTTCCAATATGCTTCACTTGGCGATGTAGTGTTAACGCCAGGAGGAGGCGCCGCAGGAGCTCCCGTATATCTGAAGTACGGATTCTTCAGGTCTAAAGTGTTAGAGGATGATATATTTGTTCCTTCTAAACTCACCTCCATTGTTACATCGTAGCTCTGTCTCTTATTAGCCAGCAGTAATACACGTCCTACCAATGCTAGTCCTTGTTTAGCAAATATAGGTGTCTCAAGAAGACAACGAACTTGATACCAGTGAGTTAACGGCTCAGTAGGGGCAGTGGATAACCAAATGTGCTGCATGCTGCCCGCAAACAAAACATCAAACCAGAAGGCGAGCCCATGACAAGTACCTGACTGTGTCAGCTCGAATCTAAATGGGATCTCAATTCGATGTAAGTCAGTTTCATTGGCATTTAGGAAATCAACAACATGTCTTACAGACCGTGACATGCAAATACGTACATCAAATGTGTCTACAATAGGCTGTCTGAAATATTCTTTCATTGCTGCAGTGCGAAGGGCACTCAAATCTACTCCATGGAAACAGTTTTGATACCAAAAGTTCGCCTTGTTGTACTGCTCCATAAACAATGCATCATCTGTAAACGGAGCTATATGAAGATCTCCTCTTGTAGGGTACATATTACCATTCGGTTTCAACCACTTTTTCGCATGAAGATACGTCTCTAACATCCTCTCGTTATATAACATGTAACCCATTGGCTCGGAAATAATTACATCTACACTCTCTGGTAGTTCTATTTCTTCAATTTTCCCCGCGACGACAGAAATACGGTCTTGTAAACCATTGGCGCGAACCAAAGCTTGTGCGTGGTGTGCCATATTACTCGCCTCGACGGCATACACTTTTCTTGCACCGGCCTGGGCAGCAAAGAAAGATAGAATACCTGAGCCCGCCCCCACATCTAAAATCACTTTGTTCTTGAAGTCGTTGATGTTAGATAGTATCGCGCGCTGATAAGTACTGGTCCTCACATAATCCTGCATCATGTTTTGCTGCTGACTCAAGTAACCATAGAACTGAAAATACTGCATGGCCGATGAGTCCTCAGTGCGCACTGTGAACACAGACGACGATCGCCCCGCCTTAACCTTCGTAACCAGAAGGTGGAAGCTCTGACAGTCAACATCAGACGCGAACTTGAAAAACAGTGTTTCATTGTCTATCGTGAAAATGTACGATTGAGCGGCCACTCGCGAACACTCACTTTGACTATGCACGGGGAACTCGAGCACTTCCTGGGCTAGCACGGGGTCGGAACGGATCACCTTTACACTCAACCCCTGAGGATCGTAATCCACGTTTACGTTCGTGGGAAAATTGAAGCGCGGCGTCAGTGCCCCGTCATTGTTGACGGTGGACACCGCCACGGCGCGAAATGTGTTCGCCATTTCTTTGATTTGGGCGAGGACGCGACCCTGCCGTCAAGGTTTTGTTCACACGCGTACGGGTAACAAAGAAATATGGCGTTTGAGAAGTTTTTCGGAGGCCGGTAAAATCGATCACTCACAAACTTGTCCCTCTTTTGTCTTTGGTCACGGCTGCAGCGTGCTATTTTTACTTTTTTTACAACACTAGAGTACCTTAAAATTATTGTCGATTTCAAGAAATCATCTGGTTTCATGTACGGTACATACTTTAAAAACATAAAGCAAGAATATTTTATTATTATTTTCTTTTCAGTACTTTGATATAATATCTACTGATATCATAAAGGATGGAAAAAAATAAAGGAATAGTCTAAGACTAATATACATGAACAATTTCATTTTGATTATCAATTTATATTAAATTGTCGTATTTATCGATATATCGATTACACATTAAGGTGGAAGGAAACGTTTGAAAATAAATCTATACAATTATTTGTAAGTCAAAAGCACATCAAGCATGACACTTTGTATGTACTTTGGTCCGTTCGTATCGTAAACGGCATAGAGATGGATGTAAGTCTTAAGTGTTAAGCTCGATGTTCTCTTGACCCTGTACGTACGTCAAGAGTACATCAAGCTTGACACTTTGCACTTTAGACCGTTTTTATCGTAAGCGGCATAAAATTGGATTTAAGTCTTAAGTGTAAAGTTTGAAGTGCTCTTGACCCGTACATTCACCAGTATTAAGTTTTCTACAATAACTTTTTTATGTTTCACATGTTTTATTGAAAATGTTTGCTTTTTAATAGTTTTCATGATTTGTCTAAATGTGTTTGTATAAATTGAAATACTTCTCAGTTAAATGCATATTATAGTGTATCATCATCGTGTCCGATCGGCTGGTCCAGAAATCTTTGGGAAAGGCCTATGTTCAGCAGTGGACGTTTTCCGGCTGATATGATGATGATGATGATGTATAGTGTATCATCTATGGTTAAATGGTTTGTAAGTTTTGAGCGCTCTGTCTTTACGTCAAAGTCAAAAACACGTGTTTAGGTTAGAAAACACGCATTGTTATTTTGTGGATTAAATTAAACATTTTAAAATAATGAGTAAAAAATTAAAGAACTTAAAATGGAATACTGTTGCTTTAGAGGGTTTCCCTGCATCTGTCACACAGAATTTGCAAGGGTTTGTAGGTTTAGAAGAGTGTACAACTTATGGCATGGATAAGGAAAGTAAACGCCCGAAAAAGGTATTTCTATTCTTACTTTTAACGGTTTTATTAGCAATGTAGCTTTTTGAAGAGCCCTTTTTGAGAGTTTAAAATCTATTTCAATCCTTTTTACGACGAGAAACCTTGTATAAACCATCATATTTGTCTTCAAAATATTATTGTCGTAATGTGTATATATTTCAGAAAAAGGTTCAAAATAAACGTAAAATCCCAAATTATGCACCCGAAAATGAAATACCAAACAAGAAAGTGAAACTATCTAACGGTTTTATAGTAGAAAATTGTGATTCTGCTACTCCATCACTGAATAATAAAATTTTTAAAGTTTTTACGTATAGTAATGAAAATAAGATATGTAAGAGCAATAAACCTGAAAAGAACTCTATAAAACCCGTAAACACAACGGCGAGTACTAACAATGTGAAAAGGAGTAAAAACAAAGCGAGACTTGGTGAACGCACTGAAGAGAATGAGTCAAATTTGACTCCAGAAGACATGTTAACTTGGGCCGAGTTCAAATTGCCTGAACCTATATTAAAAGCTTTAGCCGAGTTGGGTTTCAAACAGCCTACTAAAATCCAGCAGTTAACTTTGCCTGCTGCTGTTCATGGTAATTTTATAATCTATTATAATTACTTAGTTGTTCTCACATAAATCAATTAAAAATATCTTTTATAATCATCATGTTGCCATACAGGGTGATAAAAAAACCACTGACCATTTTAAAGGAACATACTGTATAATGGAAATAAAAAATAAGTGTTTGGTTCTTTTTTAAAATACTTGACAAATAAATAAGTTATGACATCTCAAAGTTTTCTGGTAAGTTGTGCATAATATTGTTACCTGACAACAATGGAGCGGTTGCCGTAGCAACAATCAGTGGGCGGAGTCAGCGTGTGAGTTTATCTATTGTCTACCTCGCTCGGTAGCCGAATGGCTAGCCCTGTGGGTGCGATGATGAGGCCTCGGATTCTTTGCCAGGTAATTTAATTGCTGTGGTTGTTTGGTATTTTAATTTATTTGCTTGTAATAAATTGAATTGCAATTTTTCCTTCATACTTTCTACAAGCTTTGGACTGTCAAAATACAGAAGTTTTTGTTAAAACAGGTGGAAATTGTTACGTTACATGTAGGTACTACTGTATTCAGGCGTATTTCAAAATTTGCAATGAACTTATGTACAATTATCTATCACTGCAATGCTGAGCATAGGCCTCCCCCAAAGAGTGCAACAAACAAAAAAAAATTTGAAATCAAAAACTTAATGCAGTCAGCAATACTTCAATAATCAAAATGTAGTCCACTGTAAACACAGTCTAGCGCGTTTAATAATGTCCCTCCGTAATTTTCGCAATATTGCATGGTCATTTTTTAAAGTGACCGTGAAGTCATATGTATCACGGCTTTGGGTTTCGTTGACATTACACTCGGCATTTAACTTCGCCCCAATAAAAATCACATGGAGTGAGATCAGGTGACGTGGGAGGCCAATATACTGATCCGCCAAGCCTTGAGCTCGTAGACGCTCTCCACCGCATAGACTCTTCAAGCTTTCCAGAAGACTCCAACCACTTTTACACTTATATAAACATAAACCATTTCGTAATACTCCCGGTGGGAATGCATTGGTACGCAACGACGACTGCAATTCGTATGCGTTTGCGTCGATTTGATGTCGCGCGAGGGCCAGACGTGGCGGCGCCAGTCGCTCGAAGAACCGATTATTATTTACTAAATTTAAGGAAACCACATGTTAGAAGTCATTAGGAAATATTGACATTTTTAAAAAGCAAAGCAATGGGATCTTTTATTAGTATTCTTTTTCACTAATGTGTTGTATTACGGAATTTTATGCACAGGAAAAAAAATGACAGTGATTTTTTTATCACCTGTATGTAACACTTATAGCAATATTTAATAAATCAAGCTGTGGTACTAATTATTTGTCGTACTTGTTGTCTTAATAACTAACAATGGCATGTGCATTAGGCTGTCCTTGGATATAGAAGGCTCAATAAACACATAAAGTATGTCTAGGGCACTACCTTGAACACCCAATCCAGAAACAATTTAGAAAAATTGTTTTTCCCAAGTTGGTAACACCAGAAACCGAATACAGGATCTCCTTAATCGCAGTGCTAACAGTTGAGCTAGTTTGGAAATTGTGGTTAATTTCTGCAAAAAAATATTCTTCATTATTTTTTCAGGCCGTAGAGATATTCTAGGTGCAGCAGAGACCGGTAGTGGTAAGACTCTAGCATTTGGTCTCCCAATCTTGGCCGGAATCATGAGCCTAAAAGCGAAAGCTGAAGCCAAGGGTATGGATGTTTACGATATACCATATAAAAAGACTTCTAATAAAAAGAAAAAGGAACCAGAGATTAAGAAACCTATGAAAAAGATTATCAATAAAAAAGATAATAAAAATGATAAACAAGCCCCTAAACTCAAAGAATCATTTGAAGAAGGGTACAGTACCGCTGAAGATAGTGAAGCAGAAAATGAAGAAGAAAACCAGTTAAATAACAATAAAACAAATTCTGTTAAACTCAAAAATATTGCTAAAACCAGAAACAAAATAAAACAAAATGATAATAGAGTACAATCAGCTAAAACGAATGGCAATAAAATTATAATAAATAAAACAAAAGTAACTAAATTACCATCCAATGATGATGATTATTTAGAGGAAATAGAAGTGCCTCTAATAAAAAGAGATGCATCTGAAGAATTTGATGAAAGTGATGGAAGTGATGATAATTACATTCATTTATCCGATATGTTGGACTCTGATGATTTAGCTGATAGCAGTAGTGATGATGATACCTCCAATTTTAATGATAATATAAAATCAGATGATGATAATGAAAGTGTAGAAGTATTAGATAATGACATCTCAGAAGATGAAGATAATGGATCTAATAGTCCCAATGATTCTAATGAAAATGATTTATCTGAAAATGAAACCAGTGAAGAATCTGATGCAAATAATGATGATGAAAGTGGTAGTGAATTGGAGAATGACGACAAAGACTCTGGGGAAGAAATTGAAGATTCCGGAGATGAGGGAGATGAAGCAATGATTGAAGATGAAGGAGGTATATTAGCTTTATTTCTATATCGTAATTTATGTAAAATACTCACTATGGTGATAGGTTCAGTTAGTAATAATAATATTCATATTTGATCTTTATATATATACCGCCTCTCATACCAATCTGGTAACGTGCCCCTAGCTTGGAGGGAGGCCAACGTGCAACCTATCCCCAAGAAAGGAGATCGGTCTGATCCGACAAACTATCGCCCAATAGCTGTCACTTCAGTGCTCTGCAAAGTGATGGAGCGGATTCTAAATATCCAGATAATCCGGCACCTGGAACGTCACTCCATTCTTAATGATCGACAGTACGGGTTTCGGCCGAACCGATCAACGGGTGACGTTCTAGCGTATCTAATGCATCTCTGGGGTGAAGCTATCGACAAACAGGGCGAAACCTTAGCGATAAGTCTGGATATTGCTAAGGCCTTTGATCGGGTCTGGCACCGTGGTCTCCTCTCCAAGCTTCCGGCATATGGTCTTCCCGGCCGCCTTTGTGAGTGGATCACCGGCTTTCTGCGCGAGCGAAGATTGCGTGTCCTTGTTGACGGAGGCACTTCGCGGCTCGTGACAGTTAATGCTGGGGTGCCACAGGGCTCCGTGCTGTCGCCCACGCTGTTCCTTCTGCATGTCAATGACTTGTTGCCTTTTGGCAACATTCATTGCTATGCAGATGATAGCACAGTGCACGGTTGCTATTGTTTATATGTTTTGGAACATATATCGTCGTGGGGCTCCCGAAACTTGGTTGAGTTCAACGCCAAGAAAACCCAGGTATGCGCGTTCAGTTCCAAAAAATCCCCATTCCTTCCACTTCCCCATCTTCAGGGTACAACGCTGACGCTGCAGGACAGGCTCAGCCTGCTGGGGATGAGCATCCGGAAGGACATGAGCAACAAAGACTATATAGAGAGCGTCATCTGTACCGCGTCGCGCAAGCTTGGCATCTTGAACAAGGTGCACCGATTTTTTACTCCAGAGCTGCGATACCTGTTGTATAAAGCTCAGGTCCGAAGCAGCATGGAGTACTGTTCGCACCTTTGGGACGGCTCTGCCAAGTACTTGCTCGATGCCCTAGATGGACTGCAGCGCTACGCCTTCCGTGTTGTCAACAATCCTCATGTAACTGAGGATGCGGAGTCGTTACAGCTTCGCAGAGATATAGCGTCTCTTAGCGTATTCTATCGCCTGTACCACGGTGAGTGCTCTGAAGAGTTATTCAACCTTATCCCTTCCTCTCCTTTCCATCAGCGGACCACCCGTGCCGGACTGCGTTGCCACAGTTGGACGGTCAGTTCAATACCGTCCCGCACTAAAAAGTTTGGCAATTCGTTCTTATGCCGAACCATCAAATTGTGGAACCAACTCCCGGCGCATGTATTCCCTCCCCTCTATAACTTCGGGTCCTTCAAACGTAGTGTGAAGAAGCATTTGGCCAGACCGGCAAAATGATAGTGACGGAGTGAAGATATTTGTGTTTTCCATCCGTTACTCTCATCTCTGGACTGTATTCGCACTTTCCATCAGGCGCGGTGCAGTCATTTTGCCGAGTCACAATAAAATAAAAAAAAATAAAAAAAAAATATACAAAACATATCTTCTTCTCAATTGTAATGTTCATTGGAAGGTTGTGTCCCTGAAATGTGTTCGAGACTGTATGGATGATTTCCTTCCATCTGGTTCTGTTTTCGGCGTCTCTCATGGCAGTTGCGTTGCAGTTGCAGTGGGAGGCCACTGAGCACGATCACTTGGTTACTCCATTGGATTTACCCACTATAACCACACCTTACCCACCACAACCAGTTAGTCAAGATTTTCAGGTTGTCGGTGAGCAACATGACCAAAATATTTCAGAATTCTCAGGTAGCATATTGTGTGTTCCGTAGTATATGGAGCATTCTTCTCCAACACATCTCGAAAGCGTCTAGTTATTTCCGTTCTGATGCATTCATTGTGCACAATTCTCAAGTATAAACCTTAGTCTCGAATTAGTAACGTTGGAGTCTTTTCTTGATACGCCAGATGGACTTTAACTTGCACATAGCAGCTTTGGCCATTTGACTCACATTTATGATAATTGTAGTTAGTAATGATGATATACATACTTAATCTTAACATAAAGTATAACAAATTATAAGTTTAAATTTGAAAGTTATATTTCAAATATAAGGGATGTTTTATCAGTCATGAATGCTAATAATGTATTGTAATGTATTGCTTGGATGCCAACGTCTGAGAGCGATTGGATCACGTGTTTACACGTTACGAGTAGCGTCCTAGTGAAACCTGACTTTATATAAAATCTTTCTGTCTGTAATTGTTTTGCAGGTATTGGCTGCGTAAAAGTGATAGACAACATAGATATTCCAGCACCTGTGGTCACGAAGACCGGCAAGCCGTTGTACGCTCTTATATTGACTCCAACTCGTGAGCTCGCCATACAGATTAGCAACCATCTGAAGGCGGCTGCTAAGTATACAGGTAGAACTACATATCATGTGATTTTGGCTATAGATATTATAGATCAAAAGCTGTGTAATGCTTTATTGTAGTTGTGCTGATTACTATTTTTAGTTTATTTATTTATTTATTAAGCCTTTTAAGCTGAGCTACAAAAACTTTTTACATTACAATTTTACATTGCAAATTTAAATTTTTACATTACATTTCTTAACTCAGTGTGCCAATTGGTATAGGCCTCCTCCAGATCTTTCCAGTGCGCTCTATCAAGAGCTACTCTTCTCCAACAACCTCCCATCTTTGATATTGACGCCCATTGTTACGTTTTCCATCACGCGGGTACCAATTGGTGACTACTTTGCTCCATTTTTCCTGCTCACACAACAGAAGCCCTGTCAATCTCCATTTTGCCTGATCTACCTTTGAAAGCAAATCTTGGTCAAGATTACCTTGGTTCGCCTCCTAATACTCTCACTCCTGACTTTGTTGACCCGACTGTTTTTAGTGCATATGAGTAAATATACTTACAATATCGAGGGTCCGAGGCAACACACAAAAAGTGTTTATATTTTCGTAAAATTATTTATCTAACTCATATTGTGTAATATTTATTTTATTGAATATTATGATGTTTTTACTGTGGTAAAATGATATCCATAGTTCTAATTTCTAAAACTAAAAAATTGCCACATTTGCGAAGGACAGGGCAAGCTAGCAAACAAAATGCTAATTACTAATACATATGTCGCTATGCGCACACTACGAAATTAGGCAACACTAGCTTGACTTTACGCACACATCTTTCACAATTTTGAACTGCCTCTGTGGCCGAACGGTTGCCATGCTGTTCTGCCACGCATAGCTCCCGGGTTCTGTGCTTGGTTTGGTGGTCTGTGTGTGACTAATGCACCCATGATACAGGATTTCAGACGTGTGCGTTATTTATTTATAAATCTGTTTATTGAATTCCGCTATAGAAAAGCAATTAACAATTAATAATGAGTTAGATCCGAGCTGTCTAAAGGAATGCGAATTAAAGGCAAAAATTAAAAAAATTACATTTTGAGTTAGCATTGTATGGTAGTGAGACATGGACAATTGTACAGCGAGAGAGAGAACAATCGGATTTGAGAATAGCTGGTGTGGTGTTTTTGTATGTATTTCATGTTAGTCCGGGCCACGGCCGAGGCAAGATTGGGGCACGGCGTCGAGTATTTTTTCCCGGTTCCAACACGGCCCGTTCACGTAGACGACAGCGCAAGCGCAAAATGCTCTCATCATCTATTAAATCTTTGTAGAGCGTGGCAAATTGTCCTTCGGATTCTTGTTTTCTCCAGTCAGGATGTACACACATCCTCTTTTTCTAGTCTCAATTTGTGTTTCCAATACTTCGTCATCAAGAGCTATTGCAATAGCTGCCAAATCAAGTTGTGAAAATTGCATTAATAACAAAACCGTATCACTCAAGAGAAAAGTGGAAAATAAAAAATAAACGCACACGCACGGTGGACGGCCCGGATCAGAGAATACTTCTGACCCGGCACGGTGTAACGTGAATCCGACTTAACACATTTTATTATTGTTAACGATTACTCCACAGACAAGTACCTTTCTTAAATTTAAGAAGAATGTCACAATACGACAATTTAAACGATAATGTCAAGGATATTAAGATTGCGAATATAAACAACAAAAGTTTGTGTTTATGTATGTTTGCATAGCTGGGTTTCAAGCGGAAGAAGACTATTTTTGTCTAGTTTGAAAGATTATATGAATTTTAGATGTATTTTGAATTCCTCCAATCGCATATACTTTCAAAGTATACATTTTGGCTAGTAATATTGCTAATATCGCCACCAACGCCATCTAGTGGCTAAGTTATTACATAAAACCGTGACGCTCAAACTTAATAAATTAAAAATATTCTCAAAATACGTTATGTTATGGGTTGAGCGGGTCACGTTAGCCGGATGCAACCCGAGAAGTGGGTGAACGTCTTCACTACTTGGATGCCCGAGGAAGGAAAGAGACAGCGGGTTTGAGAGGGAGTGGTGGGAGATCGCTAAAGACAGGGAGCAATGGAGGATTTTGGGGGAGACCTTTCCCCGGCAATTGGACATAATAAATTAATAAAAAAAGTTATGGAATAAATACGCATTGTAGTATTTAAAATAAAAATAAATTATTAAATAAATTATTGTAATATTTAAATGAAATTGAATTAATCCAGGAATTAGAATAGCAACGATAGTGGGTGGCATGGCGTCAGTGAAGCAGGAGAGGTTGCTCCAGTGCGGGCCCGAGGTGGTCGTGGCTACGCCGGGGCGACTATGGCAGCTGCTGCAGCAGGGACAGCCGCATTTGCAGCAGTTGGACTGTGTAAAGTAAGTTGCAAGGGTATTTCCGATAATAAACAATATCCATCCATAAATTCCTTTAAGTCAATTTTTACCCACTATGGAAAAAGTGGTTTTGTTTTATAGTATGATAACCAACACATTGTACGTCCTACTGCTGGTCATGTGTCTCCTCTTACGAGAGGGTTTAAATCCTTTGTTGGCCCAATATGGGTTGTGGATTAAAGTCCAAATTTTCAACAGCCTTATCGACACAGTGCATGGAAGTTTCATCTTGGTGTTTTTTTTTCTTCACCATTAGCGAGATGTGTTCTTACTAAACATTCACTAACAATTTTTAATTTGTTTGCGGATTTATTTTTAAATTAATTTTAATTAATTTGATTTTAATTTTTTTATGTTTTATATTACTAATTTTTAAATAACATGCCGTCTCAAAGATTCGACCCATCGACTTCTCACTTGAGAAACACTCTTCTTTGTTTCACGCTCTTTTCTCCCGCCCCTTGTATTGTACTATATTATGTTATACTATTTTATAATATCCTAGGAAACATATAAACAAAAATCCATTGGCAATTTTTGTTCTCAACAATAGCAACGAAAGTTGCAAGATTGAATTTGCCATCCACCTTAGTTGACTCCTCTTCCGAAACAAGGGATAGGCCCGGACAGGCCAGCTACTGAGTGGATTATTTTATTCCAATATCACGTACAGGATATTGTTGTCGTGCATAAGGTTATTCACGGTCACCTTGTTCCTCCTAGTCTGCTATCTCACACTAACTTTAATATTAAACCTAATCTTCGTCGTAACAAAACCTTTGTGTTAAATATTTATCGAAATAATACACCCTTTTATAACCCCGTGATTGGAATGTGCCGAACCTACAATGATTTACTAATATCAGAACGACTCCTCCTACGTAAAGTATCGTATGTAGAAATTGCCAAGTTTACAGGGGAGCGTTTTAATGTTCTCGGTTTTATTCGCCAAAGCTTGATACTGACATAGAGTGATCATCTAATAGATCATCTAACCGATATCTAGGATTTTATAATACTCTATGTGAGTAACGAGATTTGCCGAATAAAAGTGAGAAATGCCAAAGTCACGTGGTATGACCCAAGTCTCGCTTAGGGCCATGCGCACGCAATACAATAACGCCTTCAGGACGCTGATGCGGCTGCCGCGGTTTTGCAGTGCGACTGCCATGTTTGCTGAAACCCGTGTGGATAGCTTCATAGCAGTCTTGTGCAAAATATCAGCATCTCTGTTGAACAGAATACGTGGCAGCGGTAACAGCCTCCTGAAGACAATTGCAGTTAGGTGTGAGTGTTCCATAATGCGGCATCTCATTAATAATACAAAATCTGTTCTAGAATTTAAGTACTAACCTAATTATAAGTTTAATTGTTGCTAACACTTATGGATCATAGTTATCTGAATAAATGAATTTGAATTTGAATTTGCTTATTTTAGTGAATTCAGAACTTTAGGAGGGGTCGAGAAACTGGAGGTCATATTGATGTTTTTGACAACAATCTTTGTAGAATTCGTACCAATCTCCTCAAATATTTCGACTCATCTTTTCATTATTACTGCTGAATTAATGTCTATGTTAGTCTTTATTCGCATTAGTTTTAAGTTTGTAATCTAACTTTGCCATCTTTTTTTATAATACATATACAAATATGTACACTACGCATAATAACGCTGTATATACAAGCATTAGGTCTACATCTAGATTAAGACTATAAATAGTATCTCAGACATGTTGCACTGAATGCGAACAGTTTTTTCTCAAACATGTTTTCATTGCTTTCAAAAAACGAACACGGAAAGTTTGTCATTTATGGACTGTGCGACTTCTTCCCGGTCACGGCCTGCAAACTAAGTAGGTACCTATGAAAATCCATTACTGTTCACTTTTCTAAATTTTTAAATTTACTTGCTAATAATGAACAGGCAAAAGAAAAACTCATATAGCCAACTGTCCAGTGTACATGGTTGTGAGAAATAAAAATACGCACCTGTACCACTTACTTAAAATAAAGAAAATCGTGGTAACGTAATTTAAACTAAAGTGTTTTGGTATTCGTTTCGTTTTTAGTCTTTTTATTTCGTATTTTGGTCGCGTAAATGAGAGCTAGTGACAAGAGCGATAGCGAACAGTATAATAGATACACATTCAAACACGCCATCAGACGTTCAGCGAATACTATTAATGTGCCTGGAAAAACAATAACATTTTCTGTAAACAATTGTCGTACCACGTTAAATATTACTTTTAACTTTTTTTTACTTTTTCTGTTAAATTTCTTCCTATGTTTAGTCTTTTATTATCTCCTCACATTGATTGAGAAAAATTCTATATATGCCTCGGCGGGAACGGGGATTGCTTGACTAGTATTAATACACTGTAACTAATAATAATAATAATAACGTACACACTCAACATAGCCCCGCACTAGGGATACCCTGTGTCGCGGGTGCCATGGACACACACGTAGACAACCACAAATTACACCCAAACTCACGAGAGAAATAAATGTAGGCCATACAAATATTTCTCCCGACCCGGGAATCGAACCTGGGACCTCTGCATGGCAGTCCGGCATGGTAACCGTTCGGCCACGGAGGCAGTTATTAGTTATATATACTCATACTCGTCCAGCAATTTATTCCCGGCCTCTGCAATAATGTACCTTGTACATCCAATAAAATAAAATAAACATCTTCTAGATTAATTAATTTTTTTTATTGAATTCATATTCAATAATTTTTTGTGAAATTACTCCACTAGTTTGTTATAATTATTAATACAAAGATCGAACACTTAGGAAAAATTCCTTCGATCCGGTCGGATTCGAACCGACGTCTTCTTGCATACCGTGCCAGACGCTATACCAACTAAGCCACGGAACGAACCAACGGACCTCACGAATTTCTCTATGTGCTTGCGTCGTTCTGCTTTCAACGACTTTTTAGTCGTAGCGCCATCTATGAGAAATCTATTACAGATTTATCACCCAGTTAGTACCTTTACAGCTACCAGTCCTGGCGAGAGATGTCGCTATTCACTGTATTAATTTTTTTTTTTATTGAATTGATATTCAATTATTTTTTGTGAAATTACTCCACTAGTTTGTTACAAATATCTTCTAGATTCTTAGCTATTGATGAGACCGACCGCATGATCGAACGCGGTCACTTCGAAGAGCTGCAGCCTTTGCTCGAACGCCTTAATGTCGATGACGATAGGCGAAGCTCGAGACAGAATTTCGTCTTCTCTGCCACGCTAACTATGGTACATGAGCTGCCGGCACATATAAAGGGAAAGAAGGTAAGAATGTGTAAAGGTCTTTACATTACATCGGAACTTTAAGGCTAATTGGTGCTACACTAAGGGTTTAGTTAGAAGTAGAGGTCCTTGAGAGTCAAGTAAAGTAAAATAATTTTTATTTCATAGGTAATCAAATTACACTTGGAATTGTCATACTGATTAAACTCTTCCGCTCATTCGTAAGGCAGATTCCCCTGAGAAGAATGAGCAAGAAACTCTAGGGGTTGCTCTTTGTAAATATACATTTGAATACATTTATCATTACAATGTTTAATTTAAACATCTTAGATCGAGAATACCTGAAAGACCCTACCTGAAAGAGATTTTTGTCATCCAAGTATGCAGAAGTTGTATAATAGTTTGAAACCTCGTAAATGGCAAATTTTGAAAATCAATCGGATTCTTATAGAAGCGTATACATTGCCTCTTAAATGTATTTGAGGCTTTATGAAGAAGACTGACAAGTTGTTTGTTAAAAAAAAATTCTTTGAGTTTTCTTCCACGGCTTTTCTACTTATACACAATATTTTCAAACATGAGTCCTTATTTATTTCGTATTCTTTACAGGTGACGAAGAGAGGAAAAATAATAAATCGTAAAATTGAAAAAATGACGCCGCAACAAAAAATCCATAGATTGATCAAAATGATCGGAATGACCGACCCTAAGGTCGTGGATATTACTACTAAAAATTTAGGTAAGTTCACTTGTATGTTACACCACACTGACAATTGTAGCCGCGGCAACCTAAGCGCCCAGTTATATGAAAAGAAAGATTTCGCGCGGCAGCTAACAGCTAAATAAATAGAGCGTATTTTGCCATGACAGTTAGACGCACGTGGTCTAAACTACTGTCTCTCAAGCTTGGTAGTGGGTTCGAATCCGGGCTCTCTTCTCAGCTATACGCCTGTCCTTAACAGTTGCAATGCCACTCACAGCTTTACATCGCAAAGATCTGAGGGGCACTGCCACTGCGCCCGTCACCTTGACTGCCTTTTAACTGCCTCCGTGGCCGAACGGTTACCATGCCGGACTGCCACGCAGAGGTCCCAGGTTCGATTTCCGGGCCGGGAGAAATATTTGTATGGCCTACATTTATTTCTCTCGTGAGTTTGGGTGTAATTTGTGGTTGTCTATGTGTGTCCATGGCACCCGCGACACAGGGTTTCCCTAGTGCGGGGCTATGTCGAGTGTGTGCGTTATTATTATTATTATATTTAGAAAAAGAAATTAAACAGGCGCGACTAGTTTTTGACCTTGACACATAAGTTCCATGTGCCTGTAATTTCACCAGCACCCTTACTCTTTAAAACCGGAACGCAGTAATGCTCACGTTACTGCTTGGCAGCAGAAACAGGTAAGCTCTACTGGTTCACTCTACGTTGTTAACTAGACGCCTTCCCATCTATCACACTGCATGAGCAAACTGATAACTTTTGAAGTTCTTTAATAAAATACACGCTATCTCTTTCCAGGCACGGCCGAAACCTTAACAGAGAGCAAGATAGCATGCTCCCTTGAGCACAAAGACGCATATTTATATTATATATTAAAACGACACCCGGGCAGGACTATTGTATTTTGTAACTCCATTGGATGCGTTAAGAGGTAAGATTTATAGAATAGTATTTTTTGCAATCGTTCTTAAAGTCGAGGATCGTGTTTGGTATCATAAAAAAGGTGCTTTGTGAAAAATGGTCGATTCAGAACCTCACGATAACTCTGTTGTCGAACGATTCGATTAGATATCGTACGATTTCTTTTCATTTTTATTCACAATAACCGAACCGAACGTCAAACTGTCGTATTCGAAACCGAACCGAAATGACGTCACACCCGTACGATTACTCGAACTTCTCGACCGGCAAAGGGTACAAACGTCCTATTGTTTACAAAGCAAGAATGTAATATGATAGATAGAAATCTTTTACCGTTTTGAATTCAATTTTATTAATTTATTTAATGCGAGACTAATGCATTCCTACATTTTAGGCCTTTAAAGTCTTCAAAATGTATTCAATTATTAAAATGTATTCAAAAGGATTTCATTTTTCTTATAATCTATATTCGCCGATTCACCCTTCGATTCGAGAACCATATCCAATCGAAAGATTCGATTAAGATATCGAAGAGTTCTAAATCCGGGTCCTGGACTCGATACGTGATGCTCTCATGGCTAAAACACCTGCTGCTGTCTTTTACTACTTTGTCAACAGTATACATGAGTGTCGTCATTGTTTGCGAACGTTTACCAATAAGATTGACTTGGCTATTGTAGCAAGAGCACATTAAATGGTGAATAACTGTATAGCTCTCATTCTAAAAAATAGACTGCTATAGAGGAAACTGACAGAGATAACAAAGTATTTCAAACAAACTAACGTTTCGGGACCTTTCTTTAAAGGACCTGTGGTCCCATGGTCGTGGCAGACTGAGACATTGGTCTGTTTAAAAATAGTATTTTATCTACACACATATCATAAACCCTATAAGATGTGTTCAAAAACCGTAAATTATGACCAGCGTAAAGATAAACTGTTTTGTTAGAACAAATTTCTTATCTGTGAAAATGTTGTTGCTATTATCATCAAATTCGATTTTATTATTACATTCAAATTTCGAAAACAAAACAATTTGATTCGACCTCAATTCTAATATTTATCGAGGTGAGGTTTTATTCGAAATGAAATGTCAATAGCAAACAATTTTGACAAATCTCACACGTTACTTGATATCGAACGATATGATAGTTGGGGCCGATTCTAGTTCATCTATAAGTTAAATAAAAACTACGGCTGGGTGACATGCGTGAGAAAAGATTTATTTGCCGCCATTTCGCCAGTCATAACATGCGGTTCCTGAACACATCACAACGAGCATATAATATGTGTGCAGATATCTATGCATGGTATTGTAGAGGTAACGTTGCTCTACTTATATAACATATTCTTGTCATTTTCAGATTGACATAAGTTCAATAGATTTGAAGCTAAAAAAAAAAAAAAATTAGTGTGATTATGTTTTTATTCATTGCCTGATGTTCACCACCACGATTTTTCTTTTTTGTGAAATTACTCCACTAGTTTGTTATAATTATTAATATAAAGACCGAATAGTTAGAAAAAATTCCTTCGATCCGAAGGACAAAATACTTTCATAAATTTCTCATAGATGGCGCTACGGCTAAAAAGTCGTTAAACACCAAACACAAAGATCCGACAACAAGCACATATAAAAATTCGTTCGTTCATTCCGTGGCTTAGTTAGCATAACGTCTGGCACGGTTAGCTGGGAGACATCGGTACGAATCCGGCCGGATCGAATGAATTTTTTCTAAGTGTTCGTTACGTACCTTTGTATTAATAATTATGATTAATGTGGTTGTCTGGCAGATTTTTATTGCTATTTTTGTGGCAGCCTTTGAGGGACAACTAGGTTATTCAACAGTGATTCAAATGGCAACACTGAATTTTAATTTGACTTGATTTGTGGTTGTCTGCTATAATATATATATTTTTAAATATTTTGATTACAGATTGTCGCAACTATTCACAATATTAAAATGCCGGCCGCTGCCGTTGTACGCCAGCTTGCCTCAAAAACAACGACTTAAAAATTTAGAAAGGTAAATTTCTACTTAAATATAGTTCAGTGCTATTTATCGAGATTTTAGAGGGAGGTATTATCCATTCTACGTGCATTAATTCCTTAAAGTTTAGATAAATATACTCTACTTGATCTTATTTTATAATGTGTTTTTTTTATGATTGGAGAATAACTAAATGTTTTCACTATTTTCTAAAATAAATCTAGATAGATTTATTATATATTGTGGGGGCTGGATGCGGACGTCTCGTGTTCGATTCCTGGTAGAACCAATTTGGGAAATGAACTTTTTTAAATTGGTTCTGATCTGTGCCCCAGAATTCCATTGCTCTGTTACTCATAGTAGAGGGTATTCCCTACTTTGAGACCAGGGGGTCTACTCTCGTTCTCCGTCTGACGTCCGTCCGAAAAAATAACTGTCAAAAAAGTAATATTCGACCAAAATAAAGGACAACGTCAAGTATGAAGCTTCACTCGCATCATGCGTCTTTTAATTTGGTCGAGTATTACTTATTTGACAGTTATTTTTTCGGACGGATGTCAGACGGAGAATGAGAGGAGACCCCCAGACGTTTGGTGTGGCTGTCTGGCATATATAAAAAAAACCAACCTCAAAAGTCATTCACCCGTAGAATTCCACCCTTAGAGGTGGAAAATTGTTTACTTCAAATTTAAATGGGACCACATCTGAAGTGCCCTTTTTCCAACAAAAGAAGAATCACCAAAATCGGTTCACAAATGCCGAAGTTATCGCGAAGTATACATACAAAAAAAAACCACGAATTAAGAACCTCCTCCTGTTTTTCAAGTCGGTTAAATAAAAGTATATATTTTTATCACTATTAGTAGTACTAGTAGTCTGCCGTCAGAAATTCAATTTTTTTAGCATTTAAAAAGAACAAATGTTTGTTGATAGGTTCCGCGATGATCCCCATGGCGTGCTCATATCAACTGATGTGGCGGCGAGAGGTCTGGACATACCCGATATTGACCACGTCATTCACTATCAAGTACCGCGGACCGCTGAGGTAAGGCATGAACATACATAGATATAATATAGTAGCTATAGAGCTCCGTGTGAAAGAGTTTTTCCAGGGAACTATTGCCACCATTTCTGCCGCCAAGCAGTAATGTCAACATGTTCCTCGAAGTTTAGGTAAAAAAACTCTACCTATTCCGATCCCTGATTATCATAGAGACACTAATAAATACCGTTGGGTAATTTTCCGAAAAATTGAAAATAATGGAAATTACTTCAGAAAAAATCTGAAAAATTTGAAAAATATATTTCGAAGGCTCATATTATGTTCCGTTTAGATATATCTTTTGAAATTTTATTTAGCGTGAACCAGAAATAAAATCGAAATGTCATTTAATTTGTTTAAAAACTATTCTTCCAAATCATTACGAAAAGATACTTACAAATATAAATCAACCATACCGGCATTGTGCTAGCTAATCTATCAATTGTAGTGATTAATTTCATACCCCTTTTTTCTCCTTTTCCCACACACCCAGTTATCGTAATTGTAATGTAATTTGTTGCAGAACTACGTGCACCGCAGTGGACGTACAGCGCGCGCCACGAAGGAAGGCCTCACAATCCTCATGATGGAACCTGCTGAGGCTTTTCTCTACACTAAACTCTGTCGCACTTTAAATAAGAGTAAGTTTATCACAACCACAAATCAGTTATTATACACTCCCAGACACATAATTGGAGCCACCTTGCATTTTTATTTTTAAAGGGCTAGAATACAAAAATATTAATGATGCTGCAACGTGTAAGCGTCCTTTCCGACGACCTCCACCCCCGCTCCTACGTTTTGCACACATCACGATAGAGCGGTCTATTTAAATATTCTTATTTTTGTACAACAGTAAGACGAGAGGTACTTCAGTTGGGGAGAGCGTAAGCACGGTATGCTCAAGGCACTGATTCGAATTTTTTCTTAGTGTTCCTTTGTATTAATTATTATTACAAACAAGTTTAATTTCACAAAAAATAATTGAATATCATTGTAGTAAAAAACTTAATATTCCAATTATTTCAAGGGACATCTCTAGTCAGCCGCTGGTAGCTATAGACGTAACTTGGCTGAGGTAAAAAAACTTTCATAGATTTCTCACAGATGGCGCTATGGAAAAAAAGGCCTTCCTAGCGTTCGATCTTTGTATTAATAATAGTTGTATAATCAGTGGCGGATACCAGCCGCCCCTTTCTCAGCACTCATCATATACTGTTAGACTACGTAATGAATTTAATTTATTGCCAACTTTTACCGAAAACTGTTCAGAAATTTAGTTAACTATAATGGCTGCCCTCTGTCTATTGGTGGAAACCGCATGAAAATCCGCTTAGTAGGTTTTGAGTTAATCGCGATCAGACAGACAGACATACGCGGTAGTGGCATTATGTAGTGATTATTTACATTACATTATAGATATGTAACATATCTATATTTTATACATAAAATGTACGAAAGTGATTTAGGAAGATTATTGTTACACGATGCGGTGCAGTGCGGCCCGCCATAATGTGCGTGAGCCTTTAGAATATTTAGGTACTTTGAGTTATTTCTTGTTATCCATCAGTGAAATTTTTCTCACGACTGGTCGCCCCTAAAATCCGCCACTGTATACAGGGTGGAAATTTGTAATGCCACTTGGAAGGAAAGTACGTTAAATACTAGACATAGAAATTTTTACTTAAAGGACAAGTTTCTTTATTTTTAAAAAGAAATAATACTGCATTCAAAGATTTTCGAAAATTGCTAGCCACACGCGGGAATCGAACCCGCTAAAATCTTTATAAAAATGCACCCTTTACTTTTATTAAATCCACCGATAGTGTCAATTATAAGGATGAAATCTCTCTTACAAACCATGAAATCTGGAGTTATAAATTCAATGGGTCAAGTTAAAGCACTTTTACTCAAAGGTCCATCAGATTACTTGTTAATTATCGTTGACGTCATTTATCCATTAAAATGACGAAGTACTATTAAGAAGATTGCAATTTGCTCATGTTTGTAATGCAGACTCTTTGGTCAGTGGCATGAGGTAATTTAAATATGGAATGTTTCATTTGAAAATGGATTGTCTCTTGTTATTTCCATTTGATTGTTTTTACATATCCTTTCTAAGTACTGATAGTTTTCCTATAAATAAATAAATTTCATATTTGTCTCATCGTAAAAACGGCATATCAAGAACAATTTGATTTAAATTTCTTGGTTTTTCATTTCCATGGTTTCAAGATTTCATGGTTTTTTTTTTCATTTAATTAACCAATTTTGTGAGAGAGATTTTATTCTTATAATTAACCCTATCGATCGATGCAATAAAAGTGCAGGGTGCATTTTTTTCAGATTAAAGCGGGTTCGATTCCCGCGTGTTGCTAGAAATTTTCGAAAATCTATGAATGCAGCTTTTTTCTTTAAAAAAAAAAGGAATGTTTCCTTTGAGTACAAATTTCTATCTCCAGTATTTAGAGTACTTTTCCTCCAGGTGGCATTAGAAATTTCCACCCGGTATAATCTCTGTACAGAGTAATAAAAAAGCCGACCTCAAAAGTTCGTGGAATTATATCTATTTGCCAAGTTTTATTGAAATTGGTTACAGGAAAGTGCGCGAAACCGGATTCATCCCCTAGTTTGCCACCTTTAGAGGTGGAATTTTTTCATCAAATTTAAACGGGACCACTACTAAAGACTCCTCAAAATCGGTTCACAAATGTCGCGTAACATACATAAAAAAACCAGTCGAATTGAGAACCTTTTTTGAAGTTGGTTAAAAATCTGATGAATTATTAAAAGGCACAAAATAAAAATTGTTGTTTATGATGTTAGTAACATAGTCTTGGGAGGTTATTAATATTTTATAAATAACCCCGCATATTGCACTCACTATAATTCGACGCCTCCTACGTAAAGTATCGTATGTCGAAATTGCCAAGTTTACATGGGAGTGTTTTAAAGCTTGTTACTCACATAGAATGATCATCTAATAGCTCATCGGGGTGGGAATAGAGGATCTAACCGATATCTAGGATTGTATGATGCTCAACGTGTGTAACGAGATTTGCCGAATAAAAGTGAGAAATCTAAAGTAACGTGTTATGCTTATTTCAGTGAATTCAGAACTTTAAAAGGCTCCCCTGCAAACTTGGCAATTTTGACATACGATACTTTACGTGGGAGGGGTCGATATATCCAAACATGGACAACTAAATAAATCTTTTTTCAATTTTTTTTTCAGCCACCGACCTCCCGACTTTTCCAATCTCCCCCACAACCCTCTCCCCTCTTAAGGACCTAGTCGCTGTCGCGAGAGAAATCGACGTCCTAGAGCTAAAGCGACGAAGAACTACGCAAGCTCTCAGCTGGCGTGATAAAGCTGCTAGAGATATGGATATGATTGTTGATGATGATGACCTGTATCCTTTTTTTTAACA